TTATTATTATTATTATTATTAATCTTCTTCTTTCTTGACTGCAGTTTCCATTCTGATCAATGGAGTTTATCACACAGGAGGAAATTAAGAGTTTAATTAACCCATGAAAATTGTGCCATTGACATTAAAACGCAATTAAAATGAGATTAATACAAGAGACATTATCCTGTGAATAACCAGGGAATAGCCAGGCAATACACATCAAAAAGTCATTCACAGCAAAATCCTGTGAATGATTTGCTGCTGTTTCTGTCCTGGTGGTTCATGGGATAATGGCACTTTAATCACATTTTATCTCAACATCGTGTGAAAACCATTAGTGCAATTGTGGGATTATCATGGGTTAATCACCATTTATACTTCCAGTTGTCCCACGTGTGATAAACTCCCGTGTCTGATCATGGGAGCCCTGATAGAAAGGGGTTAAATGGTAGTACTGCTGCCATTCACAGTCAAAATGTTGCGAGTTTGATCCCAGGGACTCCAAGGTCCACATCAGCCTTGCATCCTTCCGAGATTGCTAAAACGAGTACCCAGCTTGTCGAAGACAATTAGCTTACACATTTTAAACCACTTAGGGAGTGTGTTAGTCACTGATAAGTAGTTGCTATTGCTATAATGTTTGTTCTGTTTAATTTAATCATGTCCCTATTTTATTTTGATTTTCTCTTTCTCTAGGTTGAATTTATGTAGCTCCTCCATGGGCATAATTTTTTAAAATCTCTTTTTATCTTTTATAAGGGCAGCTTGATTATGAAACTATTTCATGTGTGTGTATCCACATACACTTGTTTGTGTGGTCTTTCAAGACCTAAGCAGAGAAGTGGAGGACAGGGGGTCTTGGAGATGTCTCATCCACAGGGTCTCCATGAGCCAGGATCCACTTGAGGGCAGTTAACAACAAACATATACACGCAGATGAGCTAGGGAGGTTGTAGTGGTTTGAACATTGGACTATGGCTCTGGAGAGCAGGGTTCGAATCCCTGCTTGGCAATGAAAACCCCACTGAATGATCTTGCACAAGTCACAGTCTCTCAGCCTCAGACGATGTTAATGGAAAAACCCCTCTGAAGGAAATTGCCAAGAAAACCCTGTGATAGGTTTGGCTTAGGGTCACCATAAGTCAGAAATGACTTGAAGGCAAACAACACACATATATACACACAGGGAAACCAGTGTGGTGTAGTGGTTTGAGTGTTGGACTCTGACTGGAGACCAGGGTACAATTCCCCACTCAGCTGTGGAACCTGATCTTAGCAAGTCACACCCTCTCAATGTCAGAGGAAAGCAATGGCAAACCCCCTCTGACCAAATCTTGGCAAGAAAACCCCATGATAGGTTTGCCTTAGGGTCACTATAAATTTTGGAAATGACTTGAAGTTACACAACAATAACAACATAAATATATATACACAGAGGAGCCTAAATACCCTACAAGGCACCAGATCCCTCAGTCTTGGATACTAAGCAGAGCGAACCTTGGTTAATACTTGAATGGGACCCTGCCAATGAAAACTAGGTGCTATAGGCTATATTTCAGAGGAAGAAACTGGCACACACAATATCCGCACAGACTCTCTTTCTCTACACACACACACACTATAAGCACATGTGTACAAATATCTATATCTACATTCACACACAAACAAACAAACAATTTTACAAATACTGCCTGGAACAGTTTCTGGAAGAAAACAGAAAAGTGTAAAACCTTCTTTCTCTTGCTGGTGGAAGGGGATGATTTAGATTTCCTCATACACTGTTTGGGAGTAAAGTTACTTTCAATATTCAGGCTGTGTGGTGAACAGTTAACACATATGTGAAACACATTGTTAGTGATTGATTCCAACTTCACAGCATGGATACTTGTATTCAGTTCTTACTTATGGCAATCCATATGCAAATTCTCCCATGTTGTTTTCTATCCAGAAAATACTTCTGTGCAAGATCCTCCCCTGTGAAGTGGCTCTTACTTCTTTGATTTCATCATGTATTTTCATCTGATCCCAGATGATTTCAAATGTGGTGGAAATCTCACAGCGTAATCCTATGCCCATTTGGAAGGTCACTGTATGTTGCCAGTGCAGCCATAAATTTAGGGGATGAAGAAAGGTGCTTTTTGTGGGTGCAAAGTGCCACCTGGCCCCCATGAGATGGAAACTGTGGAATGATTTCCAAGCCAGCTTGCACTTACTGCTCTTCTAAAGAAATTTAACCACTGTCCTAATGGTATTTCTCTGGGATGTTTCCAAAGTAGAGCATGGATTACAGCAAAACAATGTAATCCAAGAAATATTTGAAACCCATAAAACCACTTTAGGCTGCACCTCTAATGTGCAGCTATTGCATTTCCTCACCACATCATGTGTAAGATGTCAGAGAAAGTGTAGTATTTTCTCCCCATCTCATCCCACCCCATCCCTAGAAGTGCTGTGCTCCTTGGACGGTTAAACAAAGTGCAGTTATACAAATCTCAGTGGAAGTTCCTTTTTGCAAAACGAAGAGCAAGATGATTCCCAGGGTCAACAACAGAAATATAAGGGTGGAAAAACAGGGGTACAGGCCTGCCTCAGTTAACAAAGCCTCTTACGTAGAAGCCCCTTTTAACAAATACTTTTTAGTCCCTCTCAGCCTCTCTTTCCTCCTTGTTGTATGTTTTAGCTGCAAGTGCTTCAACAGCAGCATCAACACTAAGAGGATGGTGAAGGAGGGCTGGAGAAACGCAGTTTTGGTGGCAGGTTGCTGCAGCATGTCTGCAGTAAAAAAAATGCAGTAAAAGTTGAACAAGGTGACCACAAAGAAGGACAAGACACCTCAAAATGGAGGACATTTGATGAAAAATGTAGGTCATTGCCAAATAAAAGGGATAAATACTAATATTGGCCCTTGGTATCCACTGGGGGTTGGTCCTAGGACACACACACACACTCACCCCCAGTGGATACCAAAATCCATGGATACTCAAGTCCTATTATATACAATGGCATACTAAGATGGTTTTCCGCATATAAAATGGCAAAATCAAGGTTTGCTTTTTGGAATTTATATATTTTTTAATTTTTTTCAAACTGTGGATGCTTCAATCCATAGATAAAAAAATTGGTGGATACAGAGGGTTGATTGTACATTTATTTCATATGGTTTATTTACACCTTTTTACATATACTGTATCTTAGTAAAATGCCTTGTTGGCTTGCAATACACTTATTGAGCTCTGCATGCACGCATGCACGCACGCACAAGCTTAAAATTGTACTTGACTAGCAACAAATGCCTGACTGAATCTACATTTAAATTATGTTTTTTTATTTGTTGTTTTCCAGTTAGGTCTCTCATCCCTTCTGCTTCTTCCTCAATCCAAATCAAACACTACCCCCTTCCCTTTGGTGTTGCTCATCTGCATCAACAACTCAGATCCTTTCCTTTCCACACCTCCATCAGAAAAAACAAACAACCACCATATGACCAGCAACACTCTTCTCTGCAGCCTGCAACTAATAGCAGCCAGAACAATAATAAATCTGTTGAGCTATCTCTTGCTTGCCTGTTGGGATGACACAAGGACAGGTTTTATCAAAAGGAAGGATGTTTTGCAGTTCCTCCCAGACCCCCAGACATAAGGTTGAAATGAAGGACAGTTGCAGGAGAATGGGATTTAATTCTGCCTGATCCTACTATAACCATGGGCACTTGCCTACAATGGGCAAGGTAAACAGCAGCTGCCTCCAGAATCTCTTATTAAGAATAAGGGGGAGAGAAGATAAGCCTGCTTCTCTAGCAGAAATATAGATTTATAAGATTCAGCCACCAAAATGGAAATAATAAAGAAAAGTGGAGGCCGGTGGAAGAAATTGTCATCCCTGGGTGGATTTTTGAAGAAACTTTCAAGTGGTCTATCACAAGTTCAAAATGTTTTTATTTACGTTTGCAAAACTGACCTAAGTTGTTTTACTTCACATGTGCACATGGTTAGTTTTGAATAAAAGGTTTGCTGAATCATGTTGAACTACTCTTCATTTTGGGGTGTAGGAGATCTATCCCTCTTCTTCTCATGTTAATTTTGTTTCTGTTAAAGAAGTAATGCCTGAGAACACATCTGCTTTGTTAACTGGGGTACCTCTGTACTTTGCAGTTGGAGATGAGGGAGCATGTTTTGATTCGCATGTTACTCTCATTGTAATTACATTTTCTCTGAAATTTGTCCTATTGATGTTGCTAGACTGGAGATCAACCTACAAGCAAGCACTTAATCTTAATTGCTCGGGAGAGAAACTTTCTTCTTTCTCCCAACTTAGAAGTTATCTTTTACTGTGAGATACAAATGGATGCATGGGGAACAGTACACAGATGCACTCTCTCTGTATATGAATAAATCTATTAGTGAAAATAAACATAAGTCTTCTGAATATCTGGGAAAACTATTTCCCTTAAATAAACACAAAGGTCCAGTAACGGGTGTGTATGCTGGGATCTTTCTCAGAAGGCCTCTCAGGACAGGGCAAATGTCTATCATGGCTGTGGTATTTGTTACTGCAGTTCTCAGGGTCTTTTAAAATATCAAAATGATGTTTCTGTTCTCCTAGACCAGGGGTAGGCAACCTTTTTGAGCCGGGGGCCAGGTTGCTGTTCCTCAGATAATTGGGAGGCCGAAGCACCAAAAATAAATTAAAAAATAAAAATAAAAATATTTAATTTTTTTTAAAAAATTAAAAAAATATGCATGCACACTCTCTTGGCCCCAGAAAAGCCATGGCAAAACCCCTGTGGAGATTTTGCCAAGAAAACCCCAAGAACAAGTAATAACAATAATCAATATCATCATGACGGGCAGCAGTGGCGGCTGCGGGGGGCGGCAGTGGCAGGACCGGCCTGGGGCCGGTCCAAAGGCCTCGGCGGGCCTTAGGTTGCTTACCCCTGTCCTAGACTATTTTATGTCAATTCAAGGTACCAGCTACAATGTCTTATTCCCAACTACAAATGGTTTTCTTTTTAATTCTGAGACATATGGAAACAAAAAAGTGTCCTTCCTTTTAAGAAAAAAAATCTTATAGTACATCGGTGAAATGGCACTATTCGCTCCTAAGATTTTTTTTTTTTTTAAGAGAAGAAAATTTGACTTTCATGAGATTACCTCAACAGACTCGTTGCAGTTTTTACAAACCTTTGGAAAAGCCCTACTGCAACCCCCCCCCCAAAAAAACTGTTACAGACAGTATTCCAAAAGAATGGAACAAGTAGCCATGGAGTATAATCTCCAGGAGGGTGAAACTGATTCAGTACAGAATCACATAAATAGCCTGAAAAAAGGAATTGAAACTTCTGAACCACAGCAACTAGGGTACTACACTGTGACACAATCCTTAGACCACATGTTTTGAAATAAGTTCTCTTGAAGAAGAAAGAATCTCAGACTTGATTAGTAGGCTAGGTTAGGGCAGGGCTTGGAAAGGAAAAGTTCCATTTGGAACTATACCTTCCAGAATCCCCCAAACAGAGCAGTCCAAACATTGTGGCTGCAGGATTCTGGGAGCTATAGTCTAATAACTTTTCCAACCTCTTAATTTATAAATTTTGGCATAAGCCAAAGGTTATTTCAGGTTGATATGTTCTAGTCTCTCTTCCATGCTTGTATTGGCAAAGAAACATATAACATTTCACAACTGAAAACACATGTGGCCCAGCAATATCGGAGTGTGACCAAGAGGGTAAAAGTTATTAATGAAGAATAACACACAAGCTAGGAGAGGCTACAAAAAAAGTTTGCTTTTGCATGTGCCTCCCTTATATTTAATTCCTTTTATGTCTTGATTTGATTTGATTGGATTTTCCTGATTAATGTTTCCATAGCCAAAAGAAAAAGGAGAGGTGAGAGGGGGCAACCCTGATGTGTACCTTTCTCTATCTTTATTGGACAGGTTTTTGTTCCATTTATTTTAATTTAATGTTGTAAGCCACCCGGGATAAAAATAGTTGTTGTTGTTGTTGTTATTATT